CAGAGAAGCTGAATAAATTATCTGATGGGGTTATCTCATGGAGAGGACTCTTGGTCATTAGAAGTGATGGCCTCCATGGCCCCTTCCAGTTCTTGGATTCTGTAGTTCCATGATTCGAATAAGAATAGAAACTCTTTGAGGGCAGGGATTGTCTCTTTTCTGTCCTTGTGTCCCTGGTACCTAAAGCGTTGAATACTGTACTCACAGTAGGTGCAAGCACATTTAATGCTTGTTGACTTCAGCCTTGTTAATATGTGACAGGAAGTGTATGCATTTTCACAATTCAATGGAAGATTTATAATTGCTTACCTACAATCTTTTCCACTCACTTTCAAGGAAAGTCAGTTACGAAGCATAATCTTTATGAAGCCTTTTAAAGGGGAAGGTGAGAAGGGAGTACCTTCCCATGTTGGTCAGGAGAGCTTAACCGTATAGTCTAATTTAATACTTGTTTATGTAATGTATAGTAATAGTATGGGTTGGCACCCTTGACAGTACCTTACGCAGAAGGAAAAAAGGTGATGTTCCAAGATGATCTCCCCATTATCCCATGGAAAGAGGGCATTGGTATGGAGTCATACTCGGGGGGTATTTTAACCTCAGAAGGGAGCATACACTCTGTGCCCTGGTCTTCACTGTATACAGACATTTGCTTTACCTGGATTGGCTAACTAGCCCTGGGTAGAACATGATCATTAGTAAAAAGGAGCTACCCACTTCTAATCACTCACTAATCTGCCCAGTATCTGAAGTGTCAGTTTAGCCAGGAGTCAAAACCTTGTTGAGATAATTAAGCTAGAATCAAGGTGCAGGGTTTAAAAGAATCCTACTACCCTCTTACAAGTTCAGTGGCTTACTATTTATGGGTCTTTACAAACAGTCTATTAAAAATGGAAGAAAGCACAGTTTGTTTATTGTCCACTAAATTATATGTTCTAGACACAGATGGATGTGTGACTTTAAAAAATAACAGGGAGCATGGGGCTAGTGGATAGAGCAAGCTGGACTTGGGGTCAGAAAGTTCTTGGTTGGAATCTAGCCTCAGGTTCTTCTTACTATCCCTGGACAATATGGGCAATTTCTCTGAATCTCAGTTTGCTTCTCTGATAAATGGGGATAATAACAGCACCTACCTTAGAGGGTTGTTGTGAAAATAGTATATGGTAATATACAAGATGTCCCAAAAGTCTTAGGACGGTTTTAAGCTTTAAGTAAAAAGTTTTTTTTTAATATGAAAGCTAAAACTGCACTAAGACTTTTGGGACACTCTGTATTTGCTCACCTCAAAAACTCTATATAAATGTTAGTTATTATCAGCAATATCAGTAAGGTACTTTTTTCGAACCTGATTGAATAACAACAAAGAAAGAAGTGGATTTTTTTGTTTGTTAAAGGAAAATCCTCTTTGTAGTATGAAAATGTCTTTAGGTTGTGGGAGTCTGTCACAGTGGAATAGAAGCCCTAACAGTTCTTGCAGCTACCACTATCATTCTCTAATACTATTCTGAATATTTCTAATGTTTATTGATTTTTAGCAGGACATCATCCTAAAAAGGCTACGAAACCTGTTCTTCAATTCCTTTGGCTGGAAGCCCTCAGTGGCCATGTAGTCCAACTCTCTCATTTTACAACTGAGGAAACTGAGGCCCAGGGAGATTAAATTGACTCACCCAAAAACTCTGAGGTGTAATAATTGTCAGTGGTGAGATTCGATTGCGATGTTAAACGCTATGGAAACGAGAAAGAAAGCCAAGGATCAGCAAGTGTTCTGCCTTACCCTACCAGTTTATTTAGTAAACACGATGGTTAAGATCTAACTGTAGTCTTTTCCCTCTGTCAAGTGAAACACTGTGAACCAAGAGTTGCCAATAAAAGTATATCCTCAACCTGTCCTGACATGTTTTATTATGGTCAGTATTACATAAGTCAGCCTAGGAATCAATAATCTCCATCTATTTCCATGTATCATATTTCTAGTGGTTGTCACAAACAAGAAAATCCTGGCTTGTCATTGACTGTAGACAAGGAACAGACTGGATCAGTAATATTGTTCTGGAGATGATCTTAGTACCCCAACTTCCTATACTTTGTGCATCTTTTTGGAGATAATTAATATCATTTCTGTTTACCGAGAACTCCATGCTGTGCCAGATGTTATTTAGCCTTGGCCCCTGGAGGTACTTACAGATGGGAGGAATATTTTACATTTTGAATCTTGGGAATTGTCCAGATAAAATTCACTTATTTTAGTCTTTTTTTTTCAGTCAAAGACAAGGTTTATTAGAATATCCGTCATATTAGCCAGACTCTTAAAGAATCTGAGCATTTGGCTAGATTATAAGAATCTGAGCCCACTTCTCTTAGTCTTGTCTGACTCTCTGTGACCCTGTTTGGAGTTTTCTTGCAAAAGACACTGGAATGGTTTTCCATTTCCTTCTCCAGTTTATTTTACAGGTCAGGAAACTGAGGCAAACAGGGTTAAGTTACTTATACTAGGGTCACACAGCTATTAAGTGTCTGAGGCCAGATTTGAACTCAGAAAGATAAGTCTTTCTGACTCCTAGCCTAGCATTCTATTCACTATGCCACCTAGCCGCCCCCAATTAACTTTTTTATTATACTTATCAGGAGTCAGCCTAGTACAGTGGCTAGAGTCTTGGAGATGGGGTGACCTGGATTCAACACTCTCCAATGCCATGCTGCCTGAGTGACTGGGGCAAATCATTTAAGCCCATAGGACCCCAGGCAATTCTCTCAACACAGTAAATCAAAGAGCATTTGCTATAAAGGAAGTTTCCTCACTTTGTACCTCCCTATTACCATAGAAATCACAGGACTAAGGAAATAATATATTGTATCTGTATGATTATGTATTTATCACATATATATTAATTATGTATGTATTTGTCCCATGTAAACATTATATATTTATCCCATATCTTAAATTGTTTAACTATTTCAAGTATTTAAATATGTTAGTCATCTCACAAATTAGAGTGTAAGAGGAGGGCAAGGGCAGAATCAAGCATAAATACAATTGACCTTGGAGTGAATCCTGCTCAGAAATGTGGGCCTGTTGATAAATGGTTTGAGAGTATAGGTGGAAATCTGAAATCGGAACCATTAGGTGAGATAGGGCTCAAAGCATAATTAATAAATCTAGAATCCAGGTCAGAAGAAATGGGGATTTCCAACAAGTCATTTAACCTCTAGAAGCTTGAGTTTCCTCATCTATAAAATAGGAATAATACTTGTACTAACTACCTAACAGGGGTGTTATGAGGAAGGTACTTTGTTAAAGCATTACATAAATGTTAGTTGTTGCTGTAACTGACTGTAATACGAAGTGTGTGATGAGTGCCAAATCAATGGAATAGACCTACATAATACTAACTGTAAATTATACAGCTGCTCAGAGGAACAAGAAATTAGGAGGACTCAAGCTGGGTCCTGAAAAGTTGATATAGATAGGTTGAATGGAGAAGAGAGGGATGGGTGTGGGAACAAGTGAGGGAGGGGATACCATGAGCACAAGTGTGGAGGTTGGACTTTCTGACATAATTATTGTTCCTCTTTAAAAAAAAAAATATTTGGAGCAGCAGGGATCAGGAACACAGGTAACAGCCGTCAACCCAGACGCATCCAGAAATCAAACTATCAATGCATCAACAGGCATTTATTAAGCATCTACTATATGCTGGTTATCAACTGCAAGCAGGATCTTGGTACTGAGCTAAGCCATTGCCTTAGCCAAAGGACTGGGTTTTGTTTTTTCTTCATCTTTAGGGTAAGAGCTGATTCCCTAATTGTGGCTAGGATAGGGTCCTGCAAGTAGAAGTAAATGGGAGCACTTGGATAGAGTAAGGTATGAGGGAATGGAGGGAGAACTGGAGTATACATGATGCTCAGCTTCTACGGGCTGAGACAAAGGGTTAACCCAGTCTCAGAAATTTGCTTGCCGCTGGCTGCCGCTGGTCATTGTCCAACTTTTTACTTGGGATCTGACTTCTGGTACCCATACCCTTTACTTGGCTTCTTGATTCTTGTGACCCAGAGTTTTATTTTTATTTTTGAAAGAGGTTCAAAAATGTATTGTGAGAGTCTAGCCTTCACATTTTACTCATGGTTCTCAGCCCCTGTGATGTCTTTTTTTATCTTTTCCCGCTTTACTCTATCCACTCTACAGTAGTACCCAGCTCTGTTCTTTTGACTTCCTATAATACTTGACATCTTTTGCTTATGTCACTATTAGGCAATGTTCCCCATCCACCCTTAGCCCCAGCCCCACCTGTTTTGTGATTTTTATGGTTACTTTTTTGAAGTCTCAACTAGAGTATAAGTTATATGTGTGTATATATCTTCAGTTAAAAAGCATTTATTTTCTCCCATTACAAAATAAAAAACAAAAAAAAATCCAACATTCTTATAATAAACATATATAGTCAATTAAAACAAATTTCCACTTTGTCAATGTTTTAAAAAATTGTGTTTCATTTAGCACACTGAGTCTATCACCTGTCTGTCAGGAGGCAGGAAGTATACTTCCTCATTGGTCCTTGGGGGTCACACTTGGTTTTTAAATTGGACTGTAAGTTCTTAAAGGGCTTCCACTCTCTTGTAACCTCTAGTCTAGTTATGAGCACATTTGTTGTTCAGTTGTTTTTCACTTGTGTCCAGCTCTTTGTTACCCCATTTGGGGTTTTCTTGGCGAAGCTACTGGAGTAGTTTGCCATTTCCTTCTCTAGCTTATTTTACAGATGAGGAAATTGAGGCAAACAGGGTTAAGTGACTTGCCCAGGGTCAAACACCTCAGACTCGATTTGAACTCAGGAAGATGAGTCTTCCTAATTCCAGACCTGGTGCTCTACCCACTGAGCCACCTAGCTGCCCTATGAACATACAGTAGGGGTCACAAAAAATGTGCTTAACTGAATTGCAAAGGTACATTTACTTATTGGTTTACAGTCTGTGTGGTGCTAACTGTTTTTATTTCTCTCCAGAAAATGAAAACACTAGTAGAGAGGAGAAGGAGTGCTCCATCCCTCATCCTTGACAAAGCCCTGCAGAAACGGCCCAGTAGCAAGTGAGTCAAAACTATTTCTATGTGGTTCTAAGAGTTTTTGGAATTTTTATTTTTTATTTTTTAAAGAGGATCAAGAATTTGGATGAAAAATTTGGTTCTAATGGGATTCACAGTGATTTCTATACGGAACTAGGTTTTTCTGGACAACAGAATTTTCTGCCTCATAATGCTAAAAAATTTGCTTCTGTTTTGAGTTACGATAAAAGATATGCCTCCCTTATATGAGTCCTGAACACCAATATGTATCAAATGAGATAAAATGGTTATACTGAGGTAGCTAGGTGGTGCAGTGGATAGAGGACTGGACCTGGAACCAGGAAGACCTAGGTTCAGATCCAGCCTCAGACACTGACTATATGGCCCTCATCAAGTCATCTGACCCCTCTGTGTCTTAGTATCTTTTATTGTGAAATGATTGCATTGGTCTAGATTATACCTAAGGTCTCTTTTAGCTTAAGAATTCTATGATTTTGGAAGGATGAGTGAGTCAGGCATACAGTTTCAATTAAGCAGCTTACCTTGGTAGATGGGCGTCATCAGTAAGGTTAAAATACTCATTTTAGCCATGTGCCAGAGGACTACTAGAGTGTACTTAGGTTGTTTTTGGAATGGGAGATACTGATAATTGGACAAACTACCTTCCAGAATGTTAAATGTCAGAATGTTTTTGGCACAATTGGATAAATAGTGGGGAAAATCTAGACTGGTGAAACATGAACACTTCTTGTACTTTTGAAAAGTTGTATAAAAAACAAATTTTTGTAAATTGAATTGAGTTTTGAAAATAGTAGGACACTTCGGGATTTAGAGAACTCTATAAGGAATTCTTTTGAAAAGAGGCTATTCACCCCATAATTTATCCATCTTTTGAGTTCCAATCTTAACTTGCCAGGTTTGCTTAAAATGACTATTTTTCTACAATTAAAATTTTGAGGCAGCGTACCCAAGATTATAAATGGAGTTTTAAGTGCCAAGCAACACTGCCTGTCCTCGTGCAGACTTTGGCAGAACCTCCACTGCTTTGCTACTGTGATTGATTTTGTTGGTGTGGGCAGCTCCTCCAAGGTAGATTGCAACCCACTTGATCCCTATTCATCCCAGGCAGTTCTTGTCCAAGTCTTCCCATAAATCTTCCATAGAAGGGTCAACAGGAGGGTTAAAGAATCTTTTCTCATCTTATTTTTAATTGCAGTGTGCCGTGATTACGTGCTTACTATGTACAAGGCACTAGATCTCAGGGGAACCAGAGCACCATTTCAGCTAGTCATCTGATATCCCTTGTTCTCACTGACTAGCTGATCTCCTCTTCTTATTACATGTCCTTAGGAACGTCTTTTAGACCACTTTTTGTACATCTTGGCAGTGTGATTCAGCCTCCTTTGTTATACCTTGTGTCTTTCCCTTGCCCCCTAAGTTATTCATAATTTTGATTCTCTTGAGATCATCACCCATCATGACTGGGAGAATATTAGTGTTGAAAGTATGGATTTTGGGGACAGTTTTAGATCACTGAAAGCACTACACAAATTCTCAGCTACTATCCAGAGCAAATTCTTCTTTCTGTTCTGTTCTGGGACTAGCTTACTCGCCATAAACATTTATTGATAGACTGAGTGGACAGACTATTTGCCAGGCTTTGGGCTATTTCAACCACTGTGTTTTTTTTTTAAAATATTTTCTTTTTTCCCTAATTACATGTAAAGACAATTTTTAACATTCACTTTTTAAAATTTTGAGTTCTAAATTCTTTCCCTCCCTCTCTTTCTGCCCCTCCCTGAGATGGTAAGCAGTTTGATATAGGTTATACATGTACAATCATATAAAACATTTTCCATATTAGTCATGTTATGAAAGAAGACACAGACCAAAAGAAAAAAAAAATGAAACAAAAAAAAATTTTAAAGTGAAAAACAGTATGCTTTGATCTGTATTCAGACTCATCAGTTCTTTCTTTGGAAGTGGTTAGCATTTTTCATCGTGAGTCCTTTGATCATTGTATTGCTGAGAATAGCCAAGTCATTCACAGTTCTTCATCATAAAATACTGCTGTTGCTGTTTTTAAGTGTAAATGAGTAGACTAATTCCTTTGCTATTATCATGTACTTCACTTCACCAAGGAAGCTTGGTAGTGTTTCAGGGTTTGATGTACATTTGAATGAGAACTTTGGGTGAATGTTGTAATTAATAGAACATCCTCTTCTTTAAGAGTCTGTGTAAGTCTATTGCACGACCATGACAAACACCTTAGGTATATATCTACTATTTCTACCTTGCTTTATGTCAATCCTTGATGTCCCTTATTGAACAATTATGAACCTGGCTAGAGATTAGCATGGGGCAGCGAGATGGTACAGTGGATAGAGTGCCAGACCTGGAGTCAGGAAGACTCATCTTCCTGAGTTCAAATCTGGCCTTAGACACTTCCTAGCTGTGTGACCCTGGGCAAATCTCTTAACCCTATTTGCTTCAGTTTCCTCATCTGTAAAATGATTTGGAGAAGGAAATGGCAAATCTCTCCAGTATCTGCCTAGAAAACACCAAATGGGGTCACAAGGAGTTAGATGTAACTGAAAAATGTTTGAATAACCAAAAGAGATTAGTATAAGACCAAGCTAGTGAAATTATCTGGAGAGTAATTGTAAGTAAGGCAAATATCAAACAGATGTAAAATATAAAATGTCTACCAGTCTTTTTTGTAGGGATCCATTCTTCTCCATATCATAGTGGAACCACCACACTTGGGCACTAGTGCTATAGTGCCCAATTAAGTATGAAGAAGTCTTGGTGTCACCATATCTGCCACATAGTAGGCCTGTAATAAATGCTCATTTATTTGATTGATTGATGGAAGAAGAAGAAATTGGGAAGAACAGCTAGACCTGCCAAAACACATGGGATAGAGTCTCTTCTGCTAGTGACACAATTTTAAAGGCACTTAGGGAATGATTCTTAATTGCTCTCAGAGAAGATTCCAAATGAAGGGAAAGGATCACAGATAATGTTTTTACTCAAAAAGAAAAAGACATCCATGCCTACTTAGAGGGCTGCTTTTCTCATATTTATAAAATCTTTGAGAATGCTTTGTATGCTTTGAAGGTTTCCTTGATCACAGCATGAGAAGCTAACATTCTCTTGAATTTTTCTATAGCAGATCACATTTTTATGGTCGTATGAATAGCTAAGTTAGAGACAATGTAAGATCCCATTGTTTCTATTGTTTATTGATATGTAAAAAGCATTTGAGTAGGTAGATCAAGATATAGCCTTGAAAGAACACTCACACAGTTTGTTTCCTATGCATACATTAAAATTAGATGTGACTCTATGACAGATATAATTATAGAAATTACACTGCTCTACTTGTGCTAAAGTTAGCTCAATTATAAAGCTGCTAATAATCTATTTGTGGCTTTTTCAGTGTGTGTGGGTGTGTGTGTGTACACAGAGGCATACACATACATATACATACATTATACATGTACACACAAACCCACATATACATGCACAGATATACACAAAACTGGGCAACTTGGTGAAACAGTGGATAGAATGCTGAGCTTGGATCAAATCTGGCCTCATATTTACTAGCTCTGTGATCCTGAGCAAGTCACTTAACCTCTCTGCCTCGATTTCCTCATATGTAAAATGAGAATAATACTAGTACCGACATCCCAGGGTAGTTGTGAGAATCAAATGAGATGATAATTGTAATGCTTAGCACAGTGTCTGGCACATAGTAAGCGCAATATAAATGTTAGCTGCTATTACTGTTATTATTATTACTATATTGTGTGTATGTTAGTTTCCTGCAACCATTCAGCATGCTTTGATTGGTGAGTGGATGACTTAGGAGAATACAAACCAGTTCTGTGTCATCTTATGAACCACATAATGAGGAAGGTAATCCTGCTAACAAAATAATTTTTTGGATTATCTACTGAATTATCTGCAATAATGGCTTCCCATTATTCATGTCGGCAAACGAGAATTAATTGTATCTATGATGTTTAGGCACCATCTGGGCATTTAGGGTAAGAGTATCTGAAGGACTTGATTTAGATGATAGGAGCATAGATTTAGAATCATTGTGTCAGATTTAGAGCTGGGAGAGGAGAACTTAAATATCATCTAGGCCAACTCCTCCATTTTACAGATGAGGAAACCGAGGCCCAAAGAGATTAGGTATCTTGCCCAAGTTCACACAAGTGTCAGAGGCAGGAATAGAACCCAGGTTCTATGATTCCAGAGTCTCAAGTTCTAGATTGGCGGATAAGTGGAAAATGTGAAAGATGACTTTGAATCTCCTTAGTGATGCAGAGAATGGTGGTGCCATCAACAGAAATAGAGATAATGGGGAAGGATAGGTTTGGGGGAGAAAACAAAAAAACTTAATTTTGGACATGTTGAGTTCGAAGCAGTGTTTGTGTGAATATCCAACTGGCAGATGGAAATATGGGACTGGAATTGTGGGGAGAGGATGGGGTGGTCATATCCATTTGGGAGGCTTCTATATGAAGTTGAAAATCAAAGTCATGAGAGTAGATAAAACTACCAAGGAACAGAATCTAAAGGGCCCAGGACAGAACTTGGAGACATCCTTGATTTAAGGAATTTGAAGAAAATGAAGAGTCAGCACAGCACAGCAGACAGATGGAGCAACCAGAAGGGTATGAGAAGAAGACTTTATTTCATAGAAGCTGATGGAAAAGGGGGTGTCCCTAAAGATGGGGGATGATCAAAGGGTCATAAGCTACATAGAAATCACAGAAGATAAGGATAGGGTAAATTTCAGTGGAGTGATGAGAAGTGAACCACATGGCTTAATAAATATTTGAATTGAAATGGGTTGAGTTGCTTAACAAATATTTGTTTAACTGAAAGAAATGTAATTAATGGAACAGTGATTCAGAAGGTCTCACTTCTGACCTTCTGAATGGGACTTGAGATGAAAGTACAGATGGGGTTTATGCCTATGGGGGTGTGTGTGTGTGTGTGTGTGT